ACTTTTAATCCCGTTGGGATCTGATCTGTAGTCAAAGTGTTCCTTTAGTTTTCTAAACAATGTAACGTAGATTCCTTTTACCAAATGACCAAAGAATTCTGTTGTGTCTTTCTGAAGACTTCCAGAACTACTTGAGAACTCAAACAGGGAACAACACAACTGTCAACATCATCATCTCTACTGTTGACTATCTACTCCGAGTCCAGGTTGGCTTCTTCTATTCACAATTAGCTTTTCAAGAACAGCCTAATTATTGTTACGAAATATAAATATTTTCTGTTGGGTATTTTTATTTATTCAATCCAGGTGTACCTCAAAGAAAGTCCAAAACACACAAGGGGGGGTTAGAGATATTATTGTTATTAATATCATTTACCAATAAACACAAATAATCAACATTTAGATTTTGCAAAACCGGAGAGATTTAAGTAACCCACACACCAAGGAGGTCGGTTTAGTCTCCCAACGAGCCGGGGGCTCATCAAAAGGTTTTATTCACAGATGACATATGACAAAGCACACAGCATTGAAAGATCACCACACCCACTCCTTCACAGACAGTAGATTTAACCAGGTTCAGAGAACTTGTTGTGATAACAAAACTGCAGACTTACAAGGTGGATTTTCCCCTGCTGCAGCGCCTGGTTTAATCAATCATCTTCCATGCATATTTACCACGTTAAATGTATATATAAGGCTAATGAACTCTGTTTGAAAATACAATACTAATAAAAAATGAAGGTGAAAATCAGCTTTTTATCCAACATTTTCTATGTCAGATGATTTTTGCACTAACCTGAACCCTTAAACAATTACAATAACCCATGGTCACGAGCTTTGGGTAGTGACCTAAAGAACGAGATCACGGATACAAGCGGCCGAAATGACTTTTCTCCGCAGGGTGGCTGGGGCCTCCCTTAGAGATAGGGTGAGAAGCTCGGTCATCCGGGAGGGGCTTGGAGTAGACTCGCTGCTACTAAAAGTTCCATTTGTGACATGTAGCTGTGACTCCTTACTGCTGCTGATAGATAGATGATAGATAGACAGACAGACAGACAGACAGACAGATAGTGTGAAGAGGTTCAGGAAAGTTGGATGTTAAATTTTCCTCACGAAAAGAATATTTGTGTTAAACAAAGGTCAGTTCCCTCTGTAAAGTCAGAGGTGCGGAAGAGGATTAGAGCCACTGAAAAGAAAAAAAGAAGAAAAGAAAGAGAATTCAGACTCTTTTCCCAGAATTCCCTGTCAGAAGTCTGAGAAAAAAGTAAGAATTATCTTTCTTTTTTCCTTGTCAGTGGCTCTAATCCTCTTCCATACAGAGTAGAAATAAAAAGATAAAGTAAATATTAATACCCCCCCCCCCCCCCCCCCGCTCTGAACGGTCAGCAAAATGTCCGCTCCCAACCCCGTGACCCCGTCTCACTCTTTGAAATGTTCAAAAGTGGGCCGCCCTGTAACTACACAGCATTTAAAGTGCAGACATATAATTTTACTTACTGATAAAACAAAGCAGAAACATCATGGATGATCTCTTAGCGCAATCAATACCACAGCTTGCCCTCTTTGTCTAAATAATTCCACGACTAACGTCCAGACACAAACACACAGAGGACACAGCTAAAGTTCAGTCAAAATGGCTGAACATCTATTATTGTGAGACTGAAGCCTTCCCCGGAGCTAGCCGCTAGAAGTAGCTCTATTATTATTCATCATTTAAGCATTTATTTACATCTAAATGGAAGAGTTACAAAGAATTCACCCTCTCAGAGTTAGCACGAGTGTACACTAGATCTGTTAAACCTAAAATGGTTTTATGAACAGGGCTGTAAACATGTTTATGTTTGCTATGAAACTGACATTTTTAACATCAGAGTCCGACAGAGTTTGCTCACTTCTGCTACCGCCCCCTAGCAGATGAGGGGAGAACTGCATTTTTGTCTCTTCCGTGCTGTGTTTACAAAATTCAGACCAAAAGGGCCCCTTGGTGTGAACACTCAATTCTGGGTTGGTTTCGACCATCTATGATGAACCCACCCTCAAACCTTTCATCCAGTCACAGAGCAGTAAGGTGGCCTGCCTTCCATTCCCACTAAACAACATTCATTTCCACTATACTTTCTCTCATACACATGTATTCTCATTTGCACATAAAAACACACTTTCTGGTTTAACAATATAAGGATATCAGAGATTAAAAATATGTTTTTCACGTATGTTTGTTTTATTTTTATTTTGATGATTATAACTGGCAACTCATGAAAATCCCAAATTCAGTATCTCAGAATATTAGAATGTTGTGTAAAGGTTCAATAATGAAAAGCCCTGGTGCCACACACAAGTATACACACAACAGGGAGAACCACACCCTGGAGAGGATTGTGAAACAAAACCCTTTCATAAATGGGAGGGAGATTCAGAAAGAGTGGCCTGCAGCTGGAGTCAGTGCTTCAAGAACCACCACACACAGACGTATGCAAGACATGGTTTCAGCTGTCGCATTCCTTATGTCAAGCCATTCTTGAACAAGAGACTGTGTCAGAATTGCCTTACCTGGGCTAAAGGCACAAAGGACCGGACTGCTGCTGATTGGTCCAAAGTTAAGTTCTCCCATGAATGTTGCATTTTCTTTGGAAATCAACACCTGAGCAGTGCCACAGACTGATTGTCTCCATACCACAATGCTGTAATCTAGGCCAAAGGGGCCCCCAACAGGGCACACTGACGGGCAAATCTTCTGCGCAGATGCCACCGGTCCCTCCAACCACCACCAGCAGCCTGGATTGGTGGGGTGGGGTGGGAGCCAGTATCAAACTTACAGCCTTTCATTTACTGGACAGCCCGTTCTACCTCTGGAGCTACTGCTGCCCTTGGATCCCTGAGGAACACCACTCTACAGGGGAGCTGTGGAGGACACTGAGTAACCAGCTTTAACACAAAAACTCCTATCGGATGAAAAGGATCGAACCATTCCAGAGCCTCTCTCCAGATTCATCATCATCATCATCATTTTATTTATAGAGCACATTTAAAATCCAGCATGAGAGCTGGCCAAAGTGCTTTACATGCAAATAGAGAAAGGTCATAATCATCAAATCAAATAAAACAATAAAAACACAAATAAAACATTGGAGCAAAAGCAATAAAAACAAATCACAAACTGAAAGCAAATCCATTGAAGTGAGTCTTTAAACGAGATTTAAAAACCACCAGAGAGGGACCCTGCTGTACACCAAGAGGCGGTGCATTCCACAGCTGGGGGACGGCACAGATAAATCCTCGCTCTCACTGCGATTCATAGCGCATCCTGAGAGTGCAGAGGAGGAGTTGATCTGCTAACCTCTACGAGCGATTCGGAATATAGGGGGTGAGTAGATCAGAGAGAAAAACAGGTGCTAAGTTATTTAAAACCTTGTACACATACGTCAGAATCTTAAATTGTACCCGGAACACAACCGGAAGCCAATGTAGAAGTGCAAAGGCTGGAGGAATGTGGCTACGTCTGTTTGTTTTTGTCAGGAATCTAGCAGCTGCATTCTGGACTACCTGAAGACGGTTTGGAGCTGAGCTAGGAGCTTCAATAAGGAGGGCATCCGCGTAGTCAAGACGAGAAGTTATAAATGCTTGTAAAACTGATTCCAAATGCCGTTGCTTTAAAACTGGTCAAAGACAAGCCAGACGACGTAACTGATAAAAGCAAGACAACTGAATTTCTCTGAGGAACCATTGATAGGTCATCATCTAATTTTATTCCAAGACTTGTCACACACTGTTTGGGGTAAAAAATTAGGTCGAGATCGGACTGAGAGGCAGAGTGATTTTGAGGGTTGAAAACGATGGACTCAGATTTAAACTCATTTAGTTTAGGTAATTGGCAGCTAGCCACCCCTTTACATCCTTCAGGCATGCAGTGATACAAGAGTTATCATGGAGAGATGGGTAAAGCCATCGGGGAATAGTTCAAAAATGGCACTAGACTCACCAGCGTCAATCCGAATCTCAGTCACACAGCGGATGTCCAGGCCATGAGAAACAATGAAGTCCTTTAAAACAAAAGTTTTCACCAATGATCTGGTGTTTACCAGCGCTATTTTGGCCGCAGTCACAGCAGCCTCCGCTTAACCACACACCCCATTTAGCAGCCAGCTTACTGAGGTTCAATGCCCGGTCTTCTCCCTCCTGCCCCTTACACCAACCACAGGAACCAGGTAGCTGAGAAAATCAGGACGACACTGTGAGCCAGACCCACCTCTTAATAGAACAGCTAAGCCCCCTTCAGACAGGCCATGAAAAACGGAAATGTTCCGGACTCTGTCCGTAAGACCTTTGTGTCTGAATACAAACATCCGGATAACGTTTTCCGTAATTTAACCGGACAACGCCCCTAGTAACAGGTCCGGACTTGATACGGACAAGGTGGCTGCTTCAGACTGGTGAGGTCGAGTTCCGGACAGGGAGGAGGGGGAGGGGACCGGGGGACGCTGTGCGTTTTCCTCTCCAATGTCGCTTTATGCTTGCTTAGTATGAGGATTGCTGTATAGTCACTGACACTAGTCAGTGACTTGATGCAATTTGCTGGGTTCCTTATATAGGAAACATTATTTCTGATTGGCTTAATCAACTGACCTGAATTGGAATGTTTATCATGTGAATTGCCTTGAGACGACTCTTGTTGTGATTTGGCGCTATATAAATAAACTTGAATTGAATTGAATTGAATCTAGATAGCCCGCTGCTGTAGCATACGGCGAACCACGGCAGCTCGCCTCCTACGGTACCGTCTAGACGCGTGACGGAGCGCTTCACACCGCTTCATTGATTCCTTTAACCATTGAGCTTCATCATCCAGGCCTCTTATGCATCTTCGTGTGCGCAGAATTATGCTTAACATAAGTCCGATCCCATCCCCCCCCCCCCCCCCCCCCCCCCCCCCCCCGACATCTGGAACTTTTCCATGCTGTGTGAAGGCAGCCGAAAAGACAAGTTCCGGTACAAAAGTGGTGTGTCTGAAAACTCAGTTCTGGTTAAAAACTGGATTGAATTGTCCGCAAATGTTCCAGAATGTCTATCTGAAAAGGGCTCTAGTTGCAGACCAGCCTTAAACTCCACTAGCCTGTTCCCTCTGCACCTGTGGCACACTGTGCAGTGATGCAGCAGGTCCAGGATGGAGGCAAGCCAGCATCCAAGATAGAAAAGGTGAAGAGCGGCAATGTCCCTCACACTCAAACCTCACCAGATGCTGGCCACAGAGTTGAATATTGAATAGCGTTTACCGACCATAGGCTAGAAGAGAGTCAAACGCCTGAAGTGCTTTCCTTGTATTTGACTCCCAGATCCACGGAAAGCACTCATTAAACAGCAAAACAGTAATATCTGTCAATCAAATCAATCAATCAATCAAAGCTTTATTTATAAAGCGCCTTCCGCAACCCTGTCAGGAAGTCCAAAGCGCTGAACATGGTTCAGTTGAAGGTAAATATATTGAATAAATCAAAAATAAAAGCAATTCAAATTACAAAATACAAATTACAAAATAGGTGAAACATTCTGGTACAGGACAAATGTGTAAAACAATGGATTAGAGTCAACCAATGAAAACTGTGAAATGAATTCAACATAAAAGAGGGCCAAAATCAAACATGTTCTGTAAACGCCAAGCGGAGGAGGTGTGTTTTTAGGTGACTCTTAAAGACTGGCAGAGATGGGGACAGCCTAACTGAGGGTGGCAACTGGTTCCAGAGTAACGGTGCTAGGACTGAGAAAGCCCGGTCCCCGCGGGTATGACACCTAGAACGAGGGACAGCGAGCAGGCCTTGGTCAGAGGAGCGCAGAGCGCGTGATGGGGAATGTCTGTTCAGGAAAGTGGCGAGACAGGGGGGAGCACCACCCTGGAAGAAATGATAAACAAAGACGAGGATTTTGAAGTGTGAACGATAGCAAACTGGAAGCCAGTGCAGGGAGGCCAGAACCGGACTGATGTGGTCCCGTTTCCTGGTCCCAGTCAGGAACCTGGGGGCGCTGTTCTGCACAACCTGAAGGCGACGCAGTGATGACTGACACAACCCTGCTTAGAGAGAGTTGCAGTAGTCAAGCCGAGAAATTACAAAGGCATGCAGTACCCGCTCCAGGTGGGCTCTCAACAGCATAGGCTTGATTTTTGCAAGGCGTCTCAGGTGAAAGAAACTGGACCGGATCACAGAATTGATGTGAACATCAAATTTAAGTCCAGCATCAAGTTTCACCCCCAAACTGGTAACAACTGGTTTTGAGTATGGAGAAAGAGGGCCAAGATCAGCATAACGATCCACATTCCTGCTGTTGGGGGTGAAAAACAATGAGCTCTGTCTTTCCCTCATTCAGATGTAGATAGTTGGCCATTAGCCAAGACTTCACCTTGTTAAGACAGGACACAAAGGACTGGATAGAGTGACCTTTCTCCTGACACAATGGAGAGTAAATCTGGCAATCGTCAGCATACAGATGGAATGATAGGCCATGTTTACGAAAGACTGACCCCCAGAGGTAGCAGATAAATGGCAAACAAAAGAGGACCAAGGATCGACCCCTGTGGGACCCCCCAGCGGAGCCCCTCCCAAGAAGAAAAAACATCACCCAGTTTAACACAGAATGTCCTGTTGTGGAGATATGATCTAAACCAGTCCAGAGCAGACCCTTTGATCCCAACCCATCGTTCCAAGCGATCGAGTAGAATCGCGTGGTCGACTGTGTCGAAGGCTGCTGTTAGGTCTAACAACAGAAGCAGCACAGATGTACCCTGATCTAGTGATAGATAGATGTCATTTAGGACCCTCAGTAGAGCTGACTCTGTGCTATGGCCAGACCTGAACCCTGATTGGAAAACCTCGAACAGATCAGAGTCAGCTAAATGTGAGACCAGCTGCTGATAAACGGCTTTCTCAAGCAGTTTAGATGTAAAAGGCAGGGTAGAGATGGGCCTGTAATTTTCTATCACAGAGACATCAGCACCAGGTTTCTTCAGGGTCGGCCGGATAACTGCTGCTTTCAAAGCAGCTGGGACCACACCTGTGCTGAGGCTCCCATTGATAATCTGACCAAGTGAAGGGCCAAGACACGGAAAGGCAGCCTTCCAGAGACGAGGCGGCAGAACGTCAAGCGGAGAGCCAGATGGCTTCTGCCTCGCAACAAGCTTATTCAGCTCAGAGTATGAAACTGTACTGAGGGAGCTCAGGGTGGGTGGTGATGGAGGAACTGGAACCGGGTCAACAGAGTTACCAGAAATAGCTGCTCTAATGCCCGACACTTTATCAACAAAGTATCTGTGAAAAGCTTCAGAGTTTCCAGCAGCTGTAGGAGACATGAAGCTAGGCTCCTGATACACCAGAACAGAGTTTAGTGTTTTGTAGAGAATCCTGGGGTTCTTGGAGTTTGTCTCGATGATGTCTGCAAAATAGGCCGTTCTGGCAGCCCTCACTGCATCCTGATAAGCAACCAGAGATGCTCTGAACAACTCACGCGAGACCTGTAGGCCATCCTTTATCCACTTTGTCTCAGAGGATCTACACGCCCGCCTACAAGCCCGTGTGACATCAGAAAGCCAAGGCTCCCTCCTAGGCCTAGACTTGCAAAGTTTGAGAGGGGCAACCACGTCCAGGACCTGATTACAAAGTAAATCAAAGTGTTGTGAATAGTGATCAGTGTTAGATGGATCAGGGTTAAAGGTCTCTAACCTTACGGACATACAGTCCACAAACTTTGAAATAGTTTCTGCATCCAGGGCTCTGAACCTAGTAGCGGGAGCTTCACACACAGGGACAGGACATGGCAACGTAACATCACAGAGTACAGGAGAGTGGTCAGAGAACACCGGAGGCAAAGTCACAAGGTTCATGACAGGGAGACCAAAAGAGAGAACCAGGTCCAGGGTGTGACCCCTGGCATGAGTTGGGGATGATACCCATTGAGTTAGATTAAATGAATCTAGCAAATTAAAAAAAAACCTTTAGCAAGCACATTGTCAGGACAGCAGATATGGATGTTAAAATCACCAAAAAATAGGACATAGTCATATTTTAGGATGCAGTCTGCCACAAGATCACAGAAATCATTAAGGAAGTTAGAGTTAGTTGTTCCATGCCCTCTTTCGTCTGCAGGCACCTCATTGACCTCTCGGGAAAAACGACCCAGAGCACGCTGGAAAACAAATTTAAAAACTTTTTTCTTTTACATTTAATTCAATAATGAACATTTCAACGAGGTAAAACGTGTTTTGTATGTTTCAATATTAAGAAATAAACATCAATCAATCCATCAATTAATCATTCAACTTTTATTTGTGTAGCGCTTTCCATCATCCTCAAGGGGGATGCTAGGCGCTGAACACGGCACATCCATCCCTTTATTCATCCATCTGCCTACCAATCCATTTATCAGTCTATCATTTCATTCATTCAGACGTCCAACCATCGGTTTCGTTTGAGACATCTAAATCACAACATTTCCTTTTGTTTGTGAGAACATGAATTTGAAAAAAAGGTCTAATATCTGAGGACAAATGTTTTGAGTCATGATACAGAAAAACTAAACTAATGCTCCATGATCTGTGTGATTAAGTAGAATAATGACATCATGTTAATCCACCAGGTTTTGTTTTATTTTCATTATACGAGAAGTTGCTGTTGTTGAGTCCATTTTTTTTATAGTTGAGTCGTGTCGAGTGTCATCATCATGCCTCCTGCTTTGCTTCCTTCCAGGAGTCTATCAGTGACTTCTACTGGTATTATTCTGGGAAAGATGTTATCGATGAGCAGGGCCAGAGAAATTTCTCCAAGGCGATAAAGGTGGCCAAGCAGGTGTTCAACACTCTCACCGAGTACATCCAGGTATGAGGACAAACCTTCTCTCCGCGGTTCATGCATGTGATTCATTCCTAACACTTCAGTCGTTTCAGAGACTTGTTAGCTCAGGATTAACTCTGATGCTGTTGTTAGAACCTTAAACTCTTACGGACTTTTGTCCAAATAAGCAAACGGCTTCAAGCCTGAAATGAGCTGTAGTGGTAGTCCGGTCTTAAGCAGCCTCAACAAAACCTTCTAGATCCCGCTCTAGACAAGCCTACTGCTCTGTAGTGAAGACTCTACAGGTGGAAAATGACAGTATTTCCAACTAAATATTAGGCAGTTATGTTAACTTCAGACAGTAAAATAGTTCAGATAAAACATGTTTTTGGGAGCGGAAGCAGCTTGCCACGAATGAACCCAACCGTGAGTGTGATGAGTGGCAAACTGCTGATCGTGCTGATCGACCCAAACCGAAAACATGAAGACTCATCAAACATAATATTGTTTCTGCTGATAGTAAACAATTTAGTTTTGTTCCTACTTTATAGTGTTTTTTTAGTCATTTTTATTCTGATGAAGCGCCTCTGGATTTTATCTTGAGAGGCGCCATGTAAGATTGTTTCTTCTTCTTCTTCTACTACGGGTGAAAGTAGAAGCATGAGAAACTGGTGCAGATTTCATGTGTGTGAGTAATCCAGCATAAAAGGTGACACTAATCTCATTCGTGCAAATCCAGATGTCTCCGCCTTAGTTTGTTACAGCTGTGAGGATTATGAAAACCCCACACTCAACATCTCAGACTGTCTCACTCAAGTCAGCTAACTAATCCAGAACAGCTGCAGAGGGTTCCTGAGGCTTTAGATGGTCTCTCAGTTTGAGCTGGGTTACTGACATAAATGGAATTTTGTTCCATTTTTGAAGTGTTGTCGCCTGTAGACGAATATCCCAGGAGGCAAGGTGGTTGTGGTGCATCAGAATCAACCTGATGTGATGGTTCTGCTGCTGCAGGGTCCGTGCACGGGCAACCAGCAGAGTTTGGCTCACAGTCGACTGTGGGACGCTGTGGTTGGTTTTCTACATGTCTTCGCTCACATGCAAATGAAACTGTCACAGGTCAGTACAGCTCAAGTGCTTTGAGTCATTTGACATTGTTAACATGGAAGCTCATCTCCTGTTCTTTACCCCAGGACTCCAGTCAGATCGAGTTACTTAAAGAACTGATGGATCTGCAGAAAGACATGGTTGTGATGCTGCTGTCCATGCTGGAAGGTACGTCTGCAACATCTGAAGGAGCTGTAAATAAAAAGAGCAGACAGACATACTAACAATGAGTGTTTTATTTTCACATCACCATCTTAAGGCACATCAAATACCATCAGAGTAAATATCTGTAAAATGAATCATTTTATCATCACAGGTAACGTTGTGAATGGGACTATTGGGAAGCAGATGGTGGACATGTTGGTAGAATCTTCAAACAATGTGGAGATGATCCTCAAGTTCTTTGACATGTTCCTCAAACTGAAAGACCTGACCTCCTCAGACGCCTTCATGGAGTACGACCCTGACGGGAAAGGTGACGCTCCTCGACATGTTCTCTTGTGTAAAATGAACTGCATGCCAAGAGCAGCTGCTGATTTCGAGGTGTGTGGGTGAATCTGCAGGTGTCATCTCCAAAAAGGACTTCCATAAGGCCATGGAGAGCCATAAACACTACACCCAGTCTGAGACTGAGTATCTGCTGTCCTGCGCCGAGACTGATGAGAACGAAATCCTGGACTATGAAGAATTTGTGATGCGCTTCCATGAGCCAGCCAAAGTAATTGTATAATGTTTACTAGGGTGGGTGGTTTAACAATAAAGATGATAACTTTAAGCACTTTTAAGCAATGCACTGAGCAGACGAAAACTCTAGACGGTAAAAAAGTGCAGCAGAAAACTTGATTCAGACTCCCATGAGTGATGCTCATCAGTGAGGGCATCTCAGGTTAGCCTGGCCAGCCATGCCATGATTCCTTAAGGCAATCAAAGGGCCAGATAACCCCACGCCCTGAGAATCCTAACTGAGCCAATCAGTGCTGAGCAGCGTAGGTCACACACCGTGGCGCTCAGTTTCTCATAAACAACGAAGCGGCGTTCACTGCGGCTCTTTCCTCTGCTCTAAACGACTTGGACACGTCCTTAAAACCAAAACAAGAAGAATTGCTAAAAGCCTTTCTGCTAAAGAAAAATGTTGCATCGTCGCCAGACATCATCTTTTACCACAGCGAAAAAAACTACAGCGTCACGTGAGACAGTTGTCATTTCTGCCTTTTTACTGATTGGTTATTTTTGGGCTGGTTAGTCCCGCCCCTCATGGTGCTTTCTGACCCCTCAGCATCCAGACATCTGTGTAGAATAGACCTCTGTGCACTGTTGTGCAAGGAGGAACAGGAGTGCTGCCAGTTCCCTGTAAAATGACCTCCTGCGGCCCACAAATGTGCGTACGTCTGCTCACTCAGTCAGACAGAGTTCACGAGGGCCCAACATCCACAGGTGGAGGATGTGCTTACAGCTCCACACCATGCAGGACCAGAACAGAACAGTCCCCTGCATCACTGTGAGTCAGAAGGTCATTAGAAACCCTAAGAAGAGCTGTTTCAGTAGAATGAGCTCTACGAAAACCTGACTGGAAGCTATCATAGATGTTACAGGGTATCTGCAGGTCCTTAAAAAGTCTTAAATTTGCTTTTCCAAATTTAAAAATGACAAATAATCCTTAAATAGTTTCCAAAGATCTTAAATTACCAAAGACCTAGTAAACAAGATTCTTTTATTTCCATAAAATTTTCGTGAATTTCTAGTTAGTTCAGCATTTTTTGTGTATGATATTGCGTAAGCGGAACCGTACACATTCGGTTGGTTGTGTTGGTTGGGCTATTTTTAGATGAGCATGCTAGTGGGAGTTTGCGCCATGGGGAAGTGCAAAATTAATGGTAACTGGATGGCTAATCCCACGTTCACGACGTGGTTAGCACCGGATCCAGGCAATAGCCGGAAATTATAGCTGAAATTTAATTAAGAAAAATAGCTTAAATTTGGTCAAAGTGGCCTTAAAACAGGTCTTAAAAAGTCTTACATTGGCTCCCTTAAACCTGCAGATACCCTGTGTTATGTTCATCAAGAGCAGCTGTGAGTTGTTTAGCCACAACCTTTTCCAAGATCTTGGAGATGAACAGAAGTTTAGAGATGGGTCTGAAGCTGCTATGGAGAGAGGGGTCGAGACTCGGTTGTTTAAGAAGCGGGTGGATTACAGCGTTCTTAAAGTAAGCAGGGACCTGACCAGAGACCAGAGAAGCATTAATTATAGAGAGCACGCTGGGACCGATGGACTGAAAAGCACTTGTATCCCCTTCTGCTTTTGATGTCCGTCCCTCTGGTGATTAAACTTTTATTCTTGGGGGGGGGGGGGGGGTAAGTTTTTTCTCTCTCTCTCTTCTCTATAGGAAGATCTTTTGTGACATCCAGTGCTTTAGTACCGGGACTTTGTTTCCAGGGTACGATGAGTACCGGTAGTTTTTCCAGTCATTTATTAGTCAAAATCTCAGATTTCTGAAAAAAACATCAGCCCATCTCCATTATGAGCCACCCACAGTGCCCCCAGCGCTGTCCTCCATATGTTAGAGGAGGAGAACTGCTGATTATCGATGCACTTCACTGCTGACGCACACGCTCCCGCTGCCACGTCTGCTCTGCTCCCTGACAGATGCGACTGTCCTGGCGCGGGCGCCGCCACAGACGCTTTCTCCGTGCAAAAGACGCATCGCTGCCGTGAAGTCCTCCGTCTTATATTGTCTTTGGGTTATAGCCTTTCAATCCATGCTATCAATAGTCATAATAATATTGGTGTTTATATAAATAATATGTAGGAAAACATCCACACATGTTAGCCTAACTGTCTATTTAGTGAGAGAGAGAGAAATGATTTCATATTAGACAATGATCATAGCATTAGCTGTAGTCTTATCGACATTATTTTCATTGTGTCATTTCCCACTTAGACCAGAATAAATCCTAATTTGCTAATAAGATGGATTTCTGGATCCAGCTGCTTCTGCTGAGGGAAGCTTCTCAACCTGAGGCTCATCTAGAACAACACCTGAGTAGTCTGGCTATCATCAGCCCCTCTCAGAAGTAACACCGCATCAGATGGTCTCATAGACGACTGTGCATTAAGAAAAAGGAGTTGTGTCTCTTCTGTTGTTAAGACGCTCTTTGAATCTGTGCCTCCTAAGTTGTAAATCTAAATGACCCCAATGAAACAGTCATGCTGCAATGGGGAGACCCTCAAATCCCACTTGAAACCAAATAATCGTAGGCCTCCAGATGTTCGAAAGCCTTTCATTTTCATGAGTGAAGGGTGCAGGGCTTTCTGTTAAGTAAGAAACAATATCTCCTCAGCAGATTTGTGAAAAAACAAAACAAAACAAACACGGGCGAATCGGACCAACATTTTCTGTCGTCCCAGAGCTCATGCGGGCTTCTCATAACCTCGTTTTGTCTTCACTAAGCTAAACCTCCTCCTGTCTTTGGATGATGAAGTGTTTATGTATCAGGGAATTTGTACGTAAACTTATGAGGCCATGGACAGCCCGTCAGAGGCAGACTGACGTCCCAAATGTAAAACAGATTGGAGAAGCAGTGCTCGTTCAACTGAGCTTCCCTGGGTCATTCATCCCCTCTGCAGTAAGAGCGTGTAAGTCCTCAGTTTAACTGGTACTGGCATCATCCTGGTACACACAGTAACATGGATTAAATGTTCAATATGTGTTCAATACTCGTGCATTACTAGATTTACACACGCTGTGTCCCTTACAGTACGCTGCATTCTTCTGACCCACGTTTCATTTTTATTTGTGGTTTTTAGTTGTTAAAGGTTACAATAATAAAAGTACTTTTTTAAAATGTATTTATTTTTTTCTAATTATTCTCCAAGTGTTGGTGCTGCTGTAACAAGTGAACTTCCCCACTGTGGGATCAATGAAGTCTACTATATTTCTCCAGGGGAGCCGGACTGCCATGCAACTCAAACCCTGTTTCCACCCGTTTCTGATCCTTTTAGAGTCATGTGATCAGAGTGGAGCATCCCTAACCCTAACCCTAACCCTAACTGGAGGGATTTGAGACAAGCTTCAATTATGCGAGTCAAATTTGACCTCGACGGCAACTCACTTTGGTCTTGGCTGGATGTGGGCTAGCTATTAGCTTACCCATGCCCAACAAAGACCAAAGTGTGTTGCTTCTGTCTTAAATCAGCTCCATTCTTCTAAATGTAACAGTAGTTCATTGAAGTTGTAAACTTTGCACTGCTTCCAGTTTGGCTTTGACAGAAATGTCCTTTTGGAGTTGACCCCAGAATGCTTTGGAAGTGCATTATTTACCTGCTGCTAATTGCACTTGTTTAGCGTCTGTATGATCCACACCTCACAGGGGTGTGGAAGGCCATGGTGAAATCTTGGAAACTGGCGTTGCTTCGTTATCTCTCTTGCTAAAAATGCAAGTAAATAAAACAAAACAAACTTTTTTTTAACTGATTGTTCTCTTCAAGGACATTGGCTTCAACGTGGCAGTTCTGCTGACCAACCTTTCAGAGCACATGCCTCACGACACACGGCTGCAGACCTTCCTGGAGCTGGCAGACAGCGTCCTCAATTACTTCCAGCCTCACCTAGGCCGGATTGAGATCATGGGCAGCGCTAAGCGGATTGAGAGGGTGTACTTTGAGATTAGCGAGTCCAGTCGAACGCAGTGGGAAAAACCTCAGGTGAGGACGTCTTGCATTATCACGTTGTCCTTAACCGAAGATCCTTAGTCACAGTGTTGCCCTGGAAAATATAACCCAACCTCTTCACGTTTACCCAGGTTAAAGAGTCCAAGCGTCAGTTCATATTTGATGTGGTGAACGAAGGGGGTGAGAAGGAGAAGATGGAGCTGTTTGTGAATTTCTGCGAAGACACAATATTTGAAATGCAACTGGCAGCTCAGATGTCCGACGCTGGAGAGCGCTCAGCTCTGAAGGAGGAGAGTGAGCAGGAAAAACCAGAGGAGGAAACCCCTGCGATGGGCTTCTTCTCCGTTACTACAGTCCGCGTGGCCCTGCTTGCCCTTCGTTACAATGCCATGCTGCTCATAAAGGTTTGTAACACGCACCGCACCAACTGCCTTACAGCATACGGACGTACTTCCATTATTACAGAAGGACATTAGAATATTTTGGCTTACTGGACATGTTTAATTATTTTGTGAGTCTAATATCAGAACTTTCAGTAAATCTCACTTAATCAGAAGAAAATAAGGTTAAACTCCAGGTCAGGTAGTTCAAAAGTCCTCTGGTTGAGCTAGTGGTGCTGATGAGGCATCGGTCCGCCTACAGAGAAGTGAGTAAGAGAATCGATAAAGAATTGAATCAATCTGAACTGCAGGTGACTTGAGAGGGTAAATGATCTTGACTAGACACCTCTCTCCCCTTGTCCTTCATCACACTAGGTGAAGAATACCGTAGGTTAAAAATGAAAAAGGTGCAAAAAGCTTCAGAACCAGAAGGCATCAGCTTCAGGCTTGTAAGGTGCAGCACAGATCAACCGTGTGGCATCATGGGACACGTTTAATACGACCCTGAAGCTTGGGAAAGTAGCGCAGCTGTGGAAGACCTCCTTCACATCTGAAAAACCTCAGCAAGTACCGGCCAGTAGCAATGAGCTGATGAAGACCCTGGAGCAGCAGTGTTCAGTTTTGGGCCTGGAGGGACGGTATTCAGCACGTTTTAGTTTAACTCTGTTTCAACACACCTGATTTCAATCAGCAGGCAATTAACAGGCCTCCTGATGAGCTGCTGCACACTGAATCAAGTGTGTTGGAGCAGAGAAACCACTAAAACATGCTGGATACCAGCCCTCCAGGACCAAAATCGAATACCAGGAGAGATTGGTTCTCAGCCGTCCTCGCCCCCTGCTAAAGACTTCATTGGATCCGATGCAGTTCGCTAACCAGCCAAGCATCCAGGTGGATGACTCACCTGCATGATTTTGTGGACTGGTGTCAGCAGAACCACTTCCTGATTGGGAAAGACCAAAGAGCTAGTGGTAGATTTCTACAGACACAGGCCCTCTGCTTTGGTACGTTGAGGTAGTGGGTTCTTAGAAGTACCAGGTGTTTACCTGAACAACAAAATGGACTGTAGCCATAACACTGAGGCTGTTTTCAGGAAAGGTCCGAACGAAATCTACGTGCTGAGGAGACAGAGGTTCTTTGGAGAGCAGGGGACGCTCCAAAGGACCCTCTTTGACACTTTTGGTGGCATCAGCCACATTTTACAGCGTGGTATGTTGGGGCAGCATCTTATCTGCTGTTGAGAGACTGAGATTAGATAAGCTCATCAAGAAGGCTAGCGCTGTCCTAGGATGTTTTCTTGATCCAGTGCAGGAGGTGGGAGACAGAAGGACTCCAGCAAATATTACACCACTGTTGGACAACGTCTCGCCCCATACATGAAGATGTTGTGGAACTTAAGAGCTCCTGCAGAGCCACACCTCCAATTCTCACACTGAAGAACCAGACCCCCTCCTCCCTTGCTGTCACACTCAACAGACGGAGTGGGACACACACACACAAACAAAAGATTGTTTCCTTTCCACCAGTACAAACCAAAACCTGTCTTCAAAGGAGTAACGTTAACTGAGAATCACAGGTTACTTGCTCAAGAGAGAGTTTTCAGTCAGGTATTACACCCTCACCCGCATTCTTCCGTAGTTTCTTGATAAACCTGCGTGCCCCTGCTGCTGCTGCTTTAAAGGAATAGGTTTGGTCGTGGTGAGTCACCAGCTATTTGTCAGGGTGAACCACCTGGTGTTGCAACGTTAGCTTGCACCGCTGGAAATGAGTCAAACTGCTTCTAAAGTTGGTGCAGAGCGGCCGTATTCACTGAGTAGAACTTATAACTGGTAGTACCCAGTACCTGGCAATCTCATTAGAGTACAAGGTGACACTTCACACTGTGTGCCAAAAACAGCACACAGTTGATGCAACCTGCTGGGTTCCTTATATGGGAAACCTTTTGCTGATTGGTTTAATGAACTGACCTGTATTGGAGTGTTTACTGTGTGAAGGCCCTTGAGACGACTCTGGTCGTGAGTTGGCGCTTTATAAATAAACTTGAAATAAACTCTCCTTCTGCTCAATCAGACAGGTTGACCAGTGGCAGGTTGTTTGGTCTGGACCTTGTTTCCAAATGCAGAACTGTATCCTCCAGTGCTTTGCCCTTGGACTCCAGCATGTCCACTTTAGCACAAACAGTTTTGATTTCACTAACCGCGTCAGCAATGCAAGTTTTGGTTTCTGTGACTCACTACAGTTGTTCATCTATTTCTTCAGATTGTCAATGGATCCCACAATGTCATCAGATCTAGAGGAGAAGCTCTTTTGAGTCAGTTAGCCTACTTTACAGTTGATGTCATTACACAAGTGCTGCTGGGTGCATTTGCAATTCCAGTCAGAGGAATCTAAAGAACGAAAGAAAAGTATCTTATATAGCACGCCTCAAGATAAAAATCACAAGGCACTTCACAAGAACAAAAACTTCTAAATATCTTCTTTTGACCTATTGGGTCGATTAAATCCCAAACCCTCTACCAAACCACCACCTTTTTCTGAAACTTTTTCCCACTCCAAACACAAATATAAACTCCCAATATTCATCGACTCTGGAGCTGACACCGAGTTTATGGATCCCACGTTCACCAAATCTATTGGTTTGGAACTGCATCCTGTCTCCAAGAGGTTCAGGCTGTTGATGGTCGCACCGCTTCCTTTGCCACACACAAGACTGATCCATCACCGTGACTGAGATTGGAAGGCAATAATGTGGAGAGTCTTTGTTTCCTTATCAGTAACTCTCCAGAAATTCCAATTATTCCAGGCAGTTCCTGGTTACAGACCCATAAACCCCAGATGGATTGATGCAAAGGTGAGATTCTTCATTGGTCAAATTACTGTCACTTAAACAGTTTGAACAATGCTTCTCCCCCTACCCAATCTTTCCAGGATCCCCAGAAATCTACCCTGATCTATCCAAGGGTCCTAAGGAGTACCATGACCTAACAAAGTCTTTAATAACCATCTGGCCTCTTCACTTCCTCCTCAACGGTCCTTCAGCTGTGCCATCAACCTTCTTCTAGTTACTTTTACCTAGAGGGGTTGTCTGTTTTCCCACTCAGTTCCTGAAAAAGCTGCCACGATCAAATGCATTAAGGAATCAATACAAGCAGGATTCATTCAACCCTCGTCATCTGCAGCAGGAGCAAGTTATTTCTTTGGGAGGACAAAGGATGGATCCCTCAGACCCTGCATTGATTATTGCTCCCTGATCGATATCACCATCAAAAACTGTTACCCGCTACCTCTTAGCAACACTGCTTTTGACTCACTTCAGAGAGCACAGACCTTCACTAAGCTGGATATTTGCAAAGCTTATCATTTGGCCCGTTTCCATGAAGGAGACAAATGAAAAAAGGCTTTTAGCACATCCACAGGACATTGTAAATACCTTGTCATGCCCTTTGGTCTAACCAGTGTCCTAGCTGGTTTTCAGGCACTCACCAACGACGTTTTACGGGACATGGTGGGACAATATTTGTTTGTCTATCTAGATGATATCCTGGTCCTCTCTCCAGAGAGGCCGCATCTCCAGATCCAGAGACTCACAAAAGACACGTGTAACATTTTGTAAGTGGTCACAATTAATAAACGGTATATCCAACAAAGTATAGCATTCCATCAAACTATGAGTCATTAATATTGTTGGACCTTAAATTTCCGATTGAATCTGGAAATAGGCTCTTTGGGTAGCCAGGGAACCAACACTTACCAATAATTTGACACAGAAGCAAAAATATAATTTATAAAAATACATTTATTACTATATTTATACAACTAATGACTATAGAGAATAATAGAAGGTAAATGATTATTGAAGATAGTATCAACTGAGACAATAACCAAACTCTGATGAAATATGGTCGTGGATGTTATCAAGAGTCTAATTAAGTGTCTTGGGAAAGTTGTGAAGTCTGGCATTACAAGAATAATCTGGCTGAATTTAGTGATGTTTGAGTAGTTATCAATTACTCATAACCCATCCAACGCCTGTGTGCAAAGCCTACTATACCAGCAGTGAGCACTCCTGGTAGATCCAACTGGCAAAGTGAAGTCGGTCCCGACAACACCGAGGAGTGGATGGGCCCCCCGTCTCGAATGTTGGTGTTCTGGGGTATTCAAAGGTCAAATGTCCCTTAAATACAGCTCGGCTGGTCTGAGGTTACTCTCTGGTATAGAAGTTTGTTTCTGCTTGAGGCTGACGGGTTTGTTAGTGTCTGATGAAGTTGTAGCATGCAAAATAAATAATGGTTATTTAGTTCTGAGAAAGGCTAAAATGTTCTGTTGTAAGATCTGTCTTGATCTCACAAAAGATGTCCTGTAAGCATTTCGGCTGGAACTCTTGAATTGAGTGTTTCTCTAATTTTGAAGGTCTGTGTTGGACCAATCAGGGACCCGGAAAAATGTAGGAGGTGTTATCAAATTCCTCTGCACCACAGCTTTCCTAAGAGACTCATAAGGAACTATTTCACTTACTATCATGATCTAAGTATAATCTAACTGCCATAGGTAAGATACTGAAATTAATATGTGACATGACTGATAATAAAATCATCATCAACTCATCAAGTAGATTTGATTGGTGTATTTAAGATCTAATATTTGTATTTTAACAATAAACATTTATTTTGATTCAATCAGTACTTTCAAGCAACCAAGTCTTATTAAATTCACCTCAGATAAAACACTCATTGTTCTTGTAAATAATCTGTAAAGTAAGAAAATAATTGTATAAAAAGAATATGATTAATTTTTAAGGTTAAAAGTCCTGGCTCCTGGAGATGTATTGTATGTTGAACTTTGTTATGGCGGTTCCCCAGGTGGTGAGGCTGGCTTATGGAGAGATGGATATTTGTTTTGTTTTAGAGCACACGGTTGCTCGGGCAAATGAAGATGGCTGGACAGTGTAATACCTGACGACCTTTAGCATGCACATGACTTTCTTAATGCTACACATGTCCACGCTGTTCTTCTGAGTCTTCTCCAAAACAACCTGTTTGTCAAAGCAGAGAAATGTGAGTTTCATAGCACATCCATTTCTTTCCTCGATTTTACCTTCTCCCCAATCAGATCACTATGAATCCTGCCCAGACCTCAGCCGTCATCAACTGGCCCACGGCCACCACCCAATAACAACTTCAATGGTTTTTCGAGTTCACCAACTTCTACCACAGATTCATATGGGACTACAGTGAGATTAGTGCACCTGTTCATGCCCTCACCTCCAGCAAGGTCACTTTTCAATGGAACAATTCTGCTCAAGCCTACTTTCAGAAACTTGTGCACGTCTGCTCCCGTCCTCCATTCACCTGACACCACATTGTGGAGGTTGATGCCTCAGCCATTGGTGTTGGGGCTGTTCAGAAACTCAGAGGTTTCAGGATGAGAAAATTCACTCATGCTTTCGTCTCCAAGACACTTTCATCCACCGAACACAACCATGACGTTAGGGATCGGGAGCTCTTAGGCATCAAACTTGCTCTGGAGGAATGGAGACATTAGCTCGAGGGTTCTGGCACCTCGTTCACAGTTTGGACCGATCATAATAACCTAGAATATATTAAGATGGCTAAAAGACTCAGTCCTTGACAAGCCAGGTGGGCCTTGTTCTTTAGTTGTTTTAACTTTGTCATGCCCTATTGACCAGGAAACAAAAACATCAAAACTGATGCCCTGTCCAGGACTGTGGAATCTTCTACACCTGAACCTTTCCAGGATACAGAGCATTTTTTTGGGGGGGGGTTCCAGACTAGCACTGGAAAATCAACTCAGGGAGACCCACCAACAACACCCTGCTCCTCCCCAGTGCCCCGCCAATCACCTGTTTGTTCCAGATTCCTTTTGCACCACAGTTCACATCTCTATTGTCACACAGGCACCTCCAAGCCCCTTGCTATCGCCCAAAGTTGATTCTGGTGGCTCACCATGATCAAAAATGTCAAATAATTTGTTTCAACCTGTCAGGCCTGTGCCCAAGCCAAAACACCACTCAGAACACCAATTCTTGAGACCTCTGCCCGTACCCCGAACCCCCTGGACCCAATTGCACTTGGTCCCACATCAGTATGGATTTTATCACTGGTCTTCCCTCTTCTAACAACCACAAGGTAATTCTCACTGTTGTGGATTGCTTTTCCAAAATTACTCATGTGGTTCCCCTCAGGAAACTCCCCTCTGCCAAGGATGTGGCTAAAATACTCACACGAGAGATTTTCCGCCTTAATGGACTGCCCTCAGACGTTGTCTCTGACCAAGGATCCCGATTTTTCTCTGACTTCTGGAGTGTTCTGCTTTCAATTGGGCATTCAGGTGAGCCTCTCGTCTGGTTTCCACCCTCAGAATGATGGTCAAACTGAGAGGATCCACCAGGAGGTGCAAACAAAGCTCCTCCTGCTTTGTGAGATTGATGCCATCTCATAGGCCCGTAACCTGCCTTGGGTGGAAAACACCCTCAACTGCCTCCCGTCCAGCACCACAGGTGTGTTCCCAGTCTATGCTGTTTATGGCTTTCAGCCTTCGGTCTTCTCCATACAGGAGCGAGGATCCAGATTCCCTTCTGCCCAGACAGCTGCACTCCAATATCATTGTGCTTGGATGGTGGCTAAACGAAGCCACATCCACACCTCTGCTGTTTACTTCCACTCGGCCAATCGCCACAGGGTTGCTGCTCCTGTCTACAGTCTCAGATCTCTGTGGTCATTAATCCTGCAGCTGTCCATCTTTGCCTCCCCAGGACTCTCCATATCCACCCCATATTCCACGTCTCCCGAATCAAGCCTGTAGTCTCCTCTTGACACATGCTCTCCTCCAGGCCCCCTCCGCCCGCCTGGTTTGTGGAGGGTGGGCTGGTTTGGCATGTCAGGCAGCCTACCAGGGACATCCCGATGAGTCGCTCATCTGCGATTTCCACCAGACCTGTCCTGATTAGCCGGTCCTTGAGACGGGGGTTGGGGGGAGTACTGTCATGATCCAGCACCAGCAATGCTCCGTTTCCACAGCAACCATAGCCTGCTCCCATTCAGCCTCATTCATCACACTTGCTCCCCCTCTCTTCTTTTTTTCACCTGCCTCTCCTGCTGTATAAGACACATCCTGTTCTTCAAACAGTGGCTCATTGTCAAACGCTCACGACAGTAGATTGTCCAGCCTTGTTTCTCAGACTTGTGCCCACAGATTACAACCCTGCCCCATCCATGAGTCTCCTCCTCATCTTGCCCCTTACAGACTCTGACCTTGTATTGGCCCCTGACCTTGATCTTCTGGATCTTCCTGCTCTCTGCTCTCCCGATAATGCTCCTGCCCTCCTCCTGACCAAGATGTATGCAAAATGTATTGATCAAATATATGCACACTCCTTGATCTGTTCCTCACCCTGAAATTACACTCTTCCACATAAATACTGCCACCACTCTGCTTTGCTTGTCTTTAGCATGGCCTCTTTCCCTTTCCAGCAGTTTCATGTTGTCGCTGACCGCTCAGCTTCGGAAAACGTCCGCTCTGACATCTGATCTGGGTATCTAGAGTCTGGTTAGCACTACTCCCAGCAGTGGTGCTTAGTTCCTTCCTCTTTGAACATCTTAGGAGACAAAAATACAACTTTGAGGAAACTGGAGCGACTCAGAGCCATTGGCACTCATGCAAAATACACACTTGTCTAGGGCAACATCCCAAAATGCTTTGCAATATTTGGTCATGATCTATTTCTAGCTACTGTGAAAGCCAGAGTTTACAACACTATTACAGTGGACAGTATTTTGCCCACCTTACTGCTTTGAGATTTCTGTTTCTCCTCTGTATTTGGCAGAATAGCCGAGCAGTGAAAAAGCACCCTCATGTCTGGAAGTCTAATTTAGTCTGTTACTTGAAAATTCAATGGGTACACTATTGTGTACATACTATTTATAAGGACTATGGTAAATGTTGTTGAATGGATTATTAACTGGATTGTTAGCTCAATGCAGAAAAGCAGTATGGTGCAAAAATGAACTTACTGACCTTCTTTTTTTTTCAGGCACTTTCCATAAAAAGCTTAAAGAAACAAATGAAGAAATTTAAGAGCATGACGGTCAAAGAAATGGTGACTACTCTGGTCTCCTTCTACTGGTCAGTACTACTGGGTCTCCTCCATGTAGCCTTCAGTGTGGCTCGAGGATTTTGTAGAATCTTCTATCACACCTTCTTGGGAGGAAATTTGGTGGAAGGGGCTAAGGGCATTAAGGTAATCGTAATTAGGTATGTAAAAACATCAATCTATTCTAAGGGTTGTTCATTAACACCTGGAATGACTTCATTTTCAGGTGTCAGAGCTGCTTGCCAACATGCCTGACCCCACCCAAGATGAGGTGCGGGGGGAGGGAGAGGACAGGGAAAAGAGGCTATCTGACCGCAGTTCTCAAAAGGAGAACCTTGCAGACCTTGCAGTCAATACTAGTGAGACCGAGCTGCTTTCAGATATTTTTGGCCTAGACTTAAGAAGAGAGGGGGGACAGTACAAAATCACCCCCCACAACCCCAACGCCAGCATCACTGAGCTCCTCAACTCCCCAGTTCCCTCACCTGCCCTACCTATGGATTCCCAGCCCGAACTTCGACAAAGACATCAGGTGAGTGAATGTTTGCTGCTTCTTGTTCTACTTTAAAATCCTCGAAATGAGGGTGGACCAAATGTCCTACTTTCCCTATATGTGCAGGGTGTCCGGGGGGAGGGTTCCTATACTGATGAAAATATTCAGGAGTACCAACTCGAACATTACTGATATATTCTAATAATGTCGGATGAAAAACAACTTAATTGGACTGAATTAATAGCTCGCAGTTCCACCAAATGTGTGTGTGTGTGTGTGTGTGTGTGTGTGTGGTGGTGGTGGTGGTGGTGGTGGGGGGGGGGGGTGGGGGGTGGAAAAGCAGCAGAAAAAATGATATTTTGCTCTTGACATTGGTTTGTTAAAGTAGTCTTGACACACAGCAGAAATAATGCAGCTTCTCTGCTGTTCCGGCCCTCACAAGCTCGAAAACATTTAATTATTTATTCTCCTTTTTCCCTTTTCTTCCTTTTCACTCCCCCTTTTTGTTTTTTGCCTTTTGCTCTTTTTCTCTTTTCTCTCTTTTTTGCTTTTCTCTCTCCCTTTAGGGGAGGTAACTGCCCAGCAGAACGCTAGTGTTAGGGATATAAAGTCTGTTTTTGTCATCCACAGTTGTTGTCTCACCCATTCTACATTCAGGGAATTAGAAATTACGTTCAGAAGGACCCATTTATAGTAAACCATCATCAGTCTGGGTGGGTGTAGTCTTTGTTTCTCTAAACAGACTGATCAGGAAGCTAATTTAACAGTTAAGAAGAAAAACGTGTTTTTATGGCCATCCGGTATTTGTTTTTACCATGTCCTGTCCGGCTGTGAAGCAGTTATGTTTATGTTTATGTTTATTTATTTAGCAGACGCTTTTATCCAAAGCGACGTACAATTTATAACCTATAGGGCGTGTTGTGAACTGTGGGGGAAACCGGAGTACCCGGAGGAAACCCACGCATGCATGGGGAGAACACGCAACTCCACGCAGAAAGGCCGAGTTTTGAACCTGCGACCTTCTTGCTGTGAGGCAACAGTGCTAACCACTGCGTCACCATGCAACCCAATTAGAGTTGATGTCTGAAGGCTGAAGACAAGCCTTGCAGTTTCATTCTCACAGCTGGAGCGTTATAGCTTCTGCTATAATGCACACCTGATACCAAAACTTTATTAGAAACGTTTTTGGTTGTTTAAAATCCCAACGGACACGGAGACAGAAGTTCAAGAGAAAGGGGGAGAGAGAAGGAAGAGGTGGGGGAGTGGGGTTCATAAAAATAAACAATAAATGATGATTTGCTTCTAGACCTGCAGAAAGAGAGAGAGAGAGAAAAGGGACACACAAAAATACAACAAAACCAAAATACCACTGCGCCAACAACATCAGGATACATAAAAGTAACTACTTTTGCTAAGAAACACACGGTAATCATTCATAGTGCATTTAGTGCCAACCACAGCCACCACACAGGTGGTGTGTTGAAAATGCCCGAGTCCATCCTTATGAGACACCATGTGAGCACCTGTGTGCGTGCACGCACATGCAGCGTTAAGAAAGTTCATTTTAAAAACTAACTGGTTCACAATTCAGCTCATACTTTTTTAGTTCATCATTAAAACATATTTGAACTAAGTTCACTGTTCCAAAAACAAACACTTTCATGGTTCTTTGTTTTTCCAATAACATGAGGGAAAACTGTCTGAATGGTTTCCATAAAGAGGTGAAATATTAATCAACCACGGAAGAACTAGGCTGAGATAGGAAACAAGGATGGGCCTCAAATTGCAATATTCAGAGTGCAAAACATTTAATTATCTTTAAATTAAAGAACTTCTCAAATTCTGTGAATTTTCTAACTTGTTTGCCAAAAGAAAGTTATAGGGCTTGAGTCATAAAGAGCAACAATCAGCCCCAAATGATTTAGTACAAAACAAAGCAAACCAATAAACAAAACGTTAAATATTACCTGCGCGACTCTATGACTAGTGTTTTCAGGTTTGTTTTTCCCCGGTTCATTCAAGTTAATTCCATACTCTGAAATTTCATCTTCCGAGTAGAAATAATGAGCTGGAATGCACTGCACGCTTGTGTATTTAAGGTTTCTCTATAGGAGTGTCCAATAGTGAGTGTGAGGGACCACAGACGGCAGGTCCAAAGACGTGCAGAAGATGGAAGAGTTCCAAGCCCGGGAGGTCCAAGGGTTTTTCTCTAAAACATTTAATCACATGACCAACGTGTCTGTTAAAGCACCAGAAACCATGTACACATAACGAAAACCCCTTACAGATCACACTTTTTACAGATTTTTCATGTATTATCCTGTGTTTGATCATTCCTATGAATTATGTGACGATTCCCAATAATTAATTTCTTTCTGATAATTTCTGCTGGTTATTTATATTATTCTGAGCAGGACTCTCTAAAATCTATGGAAGAAAGTGTTTTGTATTTTGTAAAAATTTACATTGATGAAATGTTTTTAAAATGAATAAAACATTTTCTGTTCATAATTTTTATGGACAGGATATCTAGGCACAGTCAAGATAGTGAGGGGACCTGTTTTGGTAGCCTAAGGGATCAGGCCTCCTCTTTTTGCAGATGATGTGGTCCTGTTGGCTTCATCAGAATATGATCTCCGGCACTCCCTGGAGTGGTTCGTGGCCGGGTGTTATAGCGTCCAGAAATGGTCGTTTTTCATCTACAGTTTGACCTCTTCAGTATCCGATCATATGAAGACATAAGTCTGCATCTGGTGCTTCTAATCTTCCGCACTACAAGCTAGAAGATTCTACAGTGCGTGTTGACATTTAGATTGTCAACTTCATGCTTCACCAAGGTCTCTCTTCAAGCTTCCTCTTATCTCAGACTGCTTTTCTTCCGCCTCTTCCATTTCTGGACACTACAGTGTGAAGCAACTGGAATGAGAATCAGCTCCTAATCAGCTCTAAATCCAAGACCATGGTCTTGAGTCGGAAAAGGGTGGAATGCCTTCTCCAGGTCAGGGATGAGGTCCTGCCCCAAGTGGAGGAGTTTGAGTGTCCCAGGGTCTTGTTCACGAGTGAGGGAAAGATGGAATGCGAAATCGATAGGCGGATTGGTGCTGCATCTGCAGTGATGCGGCCGTTGTACCGGTCTGTCATAGTGAAGACAGAGCTGAGCCGGATGCAAAGCTCTCGATTTACTGGTCAATCTACATTTCAACCCTCATCAATGGTCACGAGATTTGGGTAGTGACCGAAAGAATGAGATTGCAGATACAAGCGGCTGATCTTTTTCCGCAGGGAGGCTGGGCTCTCCATGATAGGGTGAGCTTGGTCATCCAGGAGGGGCTTGGAATAAAACCACTGCTCCTCCACATTGAGAGGAGCCAGGCATCTAGTTAGGCTGCCTCCTGGATGCTTCCCTGGTGAGGTTTTTCTGGCATGTCCAACTGAGAGAAGGAAGACCCAGGACACGTTGGAGAGACCATGTCTCTCGGCTGGCCATCGAACACCTTAGGATTCCCCGGAGGAGCTGGCCCGAGTGACTGGGGAGAGCAAAGTCTGGGCCTCCCTTCTTAGGCCACTGCCTCCATGACCCAAACCCGGATAAGTGGCCGAAATTGGATGGATAGATGAATTAAACATGTATCCTGTGTCCTGCCTGAGACACTCCCACATCTGACGTTGGTGGCCACAGTGCTAATGTTTTTGCAAACACTGTTTACATAGGCAAACATATTTATGAATAGGAATTTTTTAGAGCCATTTTGCTGACACAATCCCATTAATTTCAGCTCTAAGCCAGGTGTTCTGATAGAAAACGGGGGAAAAAAATGGGTCCCAACATGGTTAGTGTGGCGTTGCCATAGTGTGGTGTCTTCGGTAGGCACAGGTCCCCTGTCTTCTTCTTGTGAAAATGGAAATACGATCACCCTAATCTAAATGTTTTTTAAGCGATTTGCTGTTTTATATGTGATCAACGTGATAACTTTGTTGTAATCAGTTCACGTTCATTCATGGAAGCTTTCATGAATGGAATTAATTTTGGTGAAATGATGATCTAGTAAAAACCAAAACCAAACCAGGGTATCTGCAGGTTTAAGGGAGCCAAATTTAAGACTTTTTAAGACCTTTTTTAAGGCCAATTTGACCAAATTTAAGCTTTTTTTTATTATTTAATTTAAGCTATAATTTCCAGCTATTGCCTGGAATCGGTCCTAACCATGTCGCTAACGTGGGATTAGCCATCCATTTACCATTGAACTTGCACTTCTCCATGGCGCAAGCTCCCACTAGCTTAACCAGCTAATGTGCTCATCTAAAAATAGCCCCCTTTCACAACCAACTGAATGTGTACGGTTCCGCCTACGCCAACATCGTACACAAAAAATGCTGAACACTAACTAGAAATTCACGAAAATGTCATAGAAATAAACTAATCTAGTTTATTGGGTCTTTGGTAATTTAAGACCTTTGGAAACTGTATTTAAGGATTATTTGTCATTTTTAAGGATTTTCAAGGCCTTAAATTTGGAAAAGTAAATTTAAGACTTTTTAAGGACCCGCGGATACCCTGCAAACATTTTAGTAGTTTCCTGTTTTATCAACTGAAGCTGGTTTTCTTTATCCCAGATGAAAGAGAAAACAAGTAAGGAGGGCCAAAATCGCAACTGTTGTAATGGTGCTTTCTGTTTCAGTCAAAGATGTGCTCTCAGAAGGAAGCTGTTCCCAAAGCTGAATCTGAGCCAGAGAAATTATCTGAGTATGTACAAATTATTGGTGTTATGTATGAAAATGTTAAAGCTGTGACCAAACGTACAGAGAATCACTCAAGTGTTGGTTTTCAGTTTTTGCTTTGATTTGGGCCAATCTACGTTCCAACCCTCATCTTTGGTCGTGAACTTTGGGTAGCGACCAAAAGAATAAGATTGCTGATACAACGGGTCAAAATGAGTTTTCTCCAGAGGGTGTCTGCGCTTTCCCTTAGAGATAGAGTGAGAAGCTTGTCATCAGGGAGGGGCTAAGATTAGATCTGCTGCTCCTCCGGATTGAGATGAGCCAGTTGAGGTGGTCTGTTTAGAATGCCTCCTGGATGCCTCCCTGGTGAGGTTTTCTGGGGAGAGACTCCATGGAAAACCCATGACAAGTTGGAGGGACTATGTCTCATGGCTGGCCGGAGATTACCTTGGGATTTCCTCGGAGGAGCTGGCCCATTTGGCTGGGGAGAGGGAAGTCTGGGTCTCATTTCTTAGGCTGCTTCCCCCGCGACCTGACCCTGGATGGTTGGACGCTTCAGTATTTTTAGATTTTTTCGGTCAGTTGTTTACTCGAGTAGATTTGCCGTTTTTGAAAGGTTCGAAGTTTTAATTGACAAACAAAGTTGATTCAAAAAGTCATCATCTCCAATGTCCTCTGTAGTTCACCCTGCCATGCTGTCCATAATCTTCTGGTTCAGATCCTGACTGATAGAGCCAGGGACAGCCCTACCCAATTTGGTGCCCTAGACGAGATTACTCCCTACTGATTTTCTGTTGGTTTTGATGAACAAAAAAAGAGCTCCATCTCATTCCATGGTGTGTCTCGCTCTTCTGCTTCACAAGCCCCCTTTCCTCGAGTGGTCCAGGAGGCAGCTCAGTGACTCAAGCATTGCCGAGTTGGAAGACCCAGGGCACGTTAGAGGGACAATGTCTCTCACCTGGCCAAGGAACGCCTTAGGATTTCCCCTGAGGAGCTGGCCAAAGTGGCCAGGGAGAGCTAGACAGCTTTTTTGAATTTGGTCAAATCACGTTGGAAGTGGATTGGCGCCTGCATAGCAATCCAGTGTCTCTGTGAGATGACCGCACCCCAACCTTGGCCACTCGTTGACTGGTGTTCTGTCAGGCAGGAAAATAACCCAGATTTCCGTCTGATCCAGCATAGAGCACCAAAATTCCTGTTTCATGCTCAGTCATCAGCCCCCAGAGTAGAACTATCCTTATCGGTGGTGGATGGCGAATTTTATTTTTGGTGGGGTGCATTTTACCAGCTGTGCCAAACAGAGCATGCCCTGTTGTGGAAAGGTGCAAATGAGTCACAAGGCAGCTTTTTTAACGTTTCTTACACATTTGCTTCCTTACAAAATGATGGTTTATAGGCAGACAAGTAAAAGAAATTATATTTTATTTGAAAAGTTCATAATAAATCTTTAAATGGTTTTTAATTTTGCTGTTTTTTAAACTAACAGCAAAATAGTTAAAGCAAGCATAAAAAATAATATTAAAAATACAAAGAAAAACATTAGTCTTAAACGTGTTTAAATAAAACGTGTCACTAACGTAAATGACCTGATAATTATTTCATCATATTTCTAGTCAAAAACAAAAGTTTTTTTCCAAAAACATGTTTAAAATTCACCAATAAATGCAAATGTTTTCATGAAGTCAACAATGCAAATGTTGTCTAACCTTTGCTTGTTTATGGTCATAATAATTCATGTTGTAATGATTTGTAAGTAGTTACTTTTCATAAATTATCAATGGAATATCAATTGAATGAAATATTCCATAAAATATGGATTATGAATATTAATGAGCCTTTAATATTCAATTTATGATGAAACTATGTAATATGGGTAAACCAGGGAAATAACACTTTATAATAACTTGGCACAGAGACAAAAAAATAGTTAAAAAAATAATTTATTACTATATTAATGATGATGAAAGATAAATGATTATAAATAGTGACACAGGGACATTAAATGAGACGATGAATGTGCTCTGATGAAACATGGCCCGGTGTGTTTAAGAGTTTTTCTAAGTGACTCGGAAAGGTGTGATGTCATTGAAGCTCTGGAGATCCGGTCTGCAGGTGAAGCCGTCTCTCAGAGCGAGTGAGTGGTCTTCTGATGTATCTGAAGTTCGTAGACACACTCAGCATTCGCACGACTGGTGAAAAGATACTTCCCAGCTGGCTCCTGGCAGAAAGTTTCACTTCTGATGAGTCGCTTTAAGGTTGTAATAATCCGTGTTATAATGAAAACATTTTTGAAGCAGTTGAAAAACGGGCCGTCACTATTCCGGCGCCTACGTCACAGCTCGACCCAGCTAGACCTCGTCATGTGGGGACGTAACGGTTTGTAAGCGGTTCCTTCTAATAAATTTATATTTATAAACTATATTTTTGTCTCTGTACCAAGTTATTAATAAGTGTTGTTTCCCTGGCACACCCAAAGTACCTCGTTTCAAATACTAAAGGTTTAATAATATTGATAATCCATATTTTTATGGAATATGAAATTGTATTGAATACCTTTATATTGTATTGACTATTAAAAATCGTTACATATATGGCGAGTCAGCCGGCAGGTAAATCAAAATCGTTACAATGTTACAGTAAAAAAAAAAACCTGGTGGAGAGTGTTTTTAAGTCTCTCGTGTCACACGCCATCAAAACGATGAGCTAAACAGAAACCAAACCGCGGTGAACTGTGGAGTGTTTCTGGTTCTGGGGTAACATCCTGATCTGAGCTGAGACTCGGGGACCTCTGGGTCCTTGGGTCCAATGGCTCTCCTGTTTATTGTGTTGGAAGAGGGTCCAGCACGCATGCACCAGTTATAGTGTAGGTCAGTGGTACTCAATAGGCTGCCCGCAGGTCAGTTCTGGCCCACGAGCCTCCTCTTTCAGGTCAAAGGGTGCATCGCTGTGGTGAAGCGCGCCATGCAGCATCATCAGCTCCCGTCAGTTCAGGCATTGGGAAAGAAAACAGAAGATGTTTAGGGGTCGCTCTTTATTTGTGGTTGTTCTGAGGCTAAACTGTGAGTGAGTCCACTCTCTTGGCTGAGAAACGCCCATGAATGGTCTCAGGATGGTTCACTGCTATAAGACACAGGACTGATGGGAGAGCTCACTTCATATGATGATAGGGACAGCAGTAGGTCAGGAGGTGGAGGGTGGTAGGACCGATCCTGGCTCCCGACAGGGAATTCTGCTATTGTGTCCATGGACATAATCTTTTTGCCAAAACTCCAAACAATCAGAAATAAGATCCCTCAGACTTTCCAGTCCAAAAACTTTTTGTTTGCCTGACGGTTAGAAGTGGCTTCTTTGCTGTCCCTGACACTAAACCAAAATCCAGAAGTTTCCTTCTCGCCATGCTGCAGGAAAACTCACACCTGCCTGCTGACGTTTGTGAGCAACTTTTGTTCTGGTGGAGCACCAGTCCCATGGCTGGATCAGCTAGGAGACAGTCCAGGTGCTGCTGGGCTTGCATATGGGCCATTCCCATCTGTACCGGGTCGGCCCGGGCCGGGTAGCCCCAGTCGACCCCAGCCTGGCCCGGTTGATTCCACACATCCTTGCCTTAAGCCCATGTGGGCTGATTCTACCCACCAATCAGAGGCTTGCTCTAATGGAAGGTGTGAATTTGCTGTCAGCAGTGGGTGTGTTGGCCCTGGTCGGCCTGAAGCAGACCCCCTCGAGAAGAGGGCTGAGAATGAGCCTTGGGTGGCCCGGGAAAATTCCAGGCCACCCAGATATGTAAACAACCTACGCTACCCGGCCCGGGCCGACCCGGTACAGATGGGAATGGCCCATTAGGTGCCTCAAAGCCTTCTTAACTAATGAAGTTTAAATGGGAATTTTAGGATTAAGTTAATTTTCATGTCAAACAAGAACTTTGTGGTAAAATATAATTAATTTGATCTCTTCAGGACATTCTGGAGTTTTAACAAGCTGCCAACATAAAAACAGGCTGAGATGATTATCATTTGTGTCATTCTCTAAACGTTTGGCCACAGCTGCATGTTAAAAACAAAAAGTAATGGTTGGGTCTAGAGTGGAACAGTTAACTCACTTATTGTTTCGTGTTTGATTTTAGGCAGAGACCTGTTGAGGAACAGGACAAACAACCAAAAAGTGAGAAGATGAAACCTAAAGTTAGAAGACACCACAACTCAAAGTCTGATGAACCTGATCTGCAGGAGTCAGTTTTTCTGAAGAAGATCATCATCTACCAGAGGAAGCTGCTGGTACCTCCAGATTCTATCTCCATTTATGTAGACTAATCCAGAGAACCATCATGCTGCTTACTTCTGATGAAGTGCTGTGACTTTAATAATGTACATAAAGGAGGTAATGTAAAGAGAACTTCAACGCTTAACATCATCTGAGTTGATTTCTGTTATCTCCACAGAACTACTTTGCTAGAAACTTCTACAACATGAGGATGCTTGCATTGTTTGTAGCATTTGCAATCAACTTTATTCTCCTGTTCTACAAGGTAACTGTATTTATCAGCTATGGCCCACCCATTCTTTCCCTCTTTTAGACAATACCATGCACTAATATAAAGGCAACTGGACTTCTTTGGTTTCTCGGAGACATTTCTCGTCTCATCCAAGAAGTTTTGTCAGTTCTGACGGGGAAACGGGGTCAAGCTTGTTCAAGATGGTTTTATTGACATTGCACAGGTGTACAACAAAACTGACTTCACGCTCATTAAAGACAGCTCGTGTAAGGAGGTGGTAAACATATAAGTAAAATATAACAGGGCTAAATTTCATACCAAACATGACTGGACAAACACACACACACACACACACACACACACACACACACACACACACACACACACACACACACACACACACACACACACACACACACGTCAGTTTGAAGTGCAATACATGTAAAAGTAAAAATGTAAAATGTTAATGACAAGTCTAAAGTATAAACTGAAATAAAAGGTAAACATAAATATAAACAGTCACATGAGTTATCAGGGTTAGCTAGCTTAATGTAAAGGTGCTGTCGTGCACTAGTTGTCCAGCAGAATCACTGTTACCCCGGCTTTCCACCGGAGCCGTCAGCAGCACGTTACTGCAGCAGCACGTCATAGCTGCTGACAGGAACCGCTGTGGTCAACAGAACCTTTTCCACTGGAGCCGTCAGCAGCGCGAGTCGGCCGCGTCTCAGGAGCAGCATGTCGCGGCCTTTACGCGCCGGTTCTATTTTCTAAGTGCGACGCCTCTGAAACGGGTCAAATTCGACTTTTTTGGGGAAGGTAAGACAGGAAATCGGACGCGGAAATGGAGAGAAGCTCCCGGGATTTTCAGAATAAAGAACGTACTGCCTTCCGGTTGCTTTACTTTAAAAAGGTTACTAACTGTGCGTCCCCGTGAGAAGTTAACACCTAGCTAGCGGTCTCCTTTGTTTTTCAGGTCCGTATTGGCGATTATAAAACGGACAGAAAATAAAACACAAACCATGTTGTAGTTTTCTCCTGCTTGTTGTTGTGTTTACTGACGAAGTCACTCGTGTGACTTCGTGCTCGGTCGGTGACAGCTGCTCCCCTGCTGCTTCGCGTCTCGTGGGAAGGGCCAAGCAGCAGCTTACGCGAGCAAGACGTGCTGCTGCAGTAACGTGCTGCTGACGGCTCCTGTGGAAACCCGGGGTTAGTGTGGCCTCCTTGCAGCAACATGATGGCTGTTGTATAAAAGCTGTTTAACAGCCTGGTGGGGCGTGCTTTTATTGCCTTGTATTGTTTACCAGATGGAAGAAGTGTGAAGAGATGTTTAGCAGGGTAGGTTGAATCCTCTAGGATGTTTGTGGTTTTTCGAAGGCAGCGAGTGGTGAAGGTGTCATCCAGGACAGGCAGGTGTGTGTTTGTTATTTTCCCTGCAGGGCCTTCCTGTCAGCTGCAGAGCTGTTGCCGTACCACACCAGGATGCTGTTGGTCAGGACGCTCTCTACGGAGTGATAAAAGGACACCAGCAGTTTTTGTGGCAGGTTGATCTTCCCAAGAGCCCTCAGGAAGTTAGCCATTGTTGTGCCTTCTTTATCAGACAGTTGGTGTTGTGTGTCTATGTGAGGTTCTCTCATATGTTTGTGCCCAGGAACTTGAACTTACACCCTCTCCACCTGCTCCCTATTTATTGAGAGTGTCTGGTGCTTCATCTTTTTCCTTTTTGGGCTGTAAATTTATTAGCTTGGGGGATGGTGTATTCAGCAGTGATTATGATGGTGGACTGCTCCCTCAGTAGGTAGAATGGTCAGTGCATTTGTGTACACACACACAGTCTGCCTCAACTGCTCTCACCGGAACCCTTCATCCGGTCGGCGCAGTGTGTGGTGAGGCCTGCTTGCTGGAAAGCCTCCTCTGGAACAGTTCAATTAAGCCACATCTCTGAAAAAATCATGGCACAGCAGTCCTGCATGTTCTTCTGTGCAGATATGGTAAGACTTACTTCCTCTATTTTGTTTGGTAGCGATCTTACGTTTGCTAAGAAGAGACTAGGCAGTGGAGGTCTGAGTGGGGCTCATGCTAGCCCTGCATGTATGTCGGCTTGGCCGTTGCGTTTCTGCTTTCTGTCTCTGCACCGCCTCTGTCGCCTCACAGCAGGATGAGCAATCCATGGAGACCCCAGTGTCTTCCTGATTTAATTTGGGAAGTCAGAGTGCTCAAACACGCCGCTAATTTGTTTCATACTGATGCTGATTAGCTCGCCTCAACTGTATTTTATGTTCACATAGCCATACTCACTGGCTATGTGAGTCACTGCACTCAATAGTAAATAAACAAAAATAAAACAAGTTCGAAAGAGCCGCTTTGCAGAGCGCTGAGCCACAGTGTGTGCACGCGCCGCCATCTTGTCAACAAAAAAACTGTATAAACTCTTCCTGTTTATTGTTGCTTAACGAGCAGAAACTGCATATAAATACAGCTCCTCCCAAACTTCTGAGGAATCATTGGAGTCGTATCCAACAACTCCTCAGGAAGCCAAAGAAGTCCAGTTGCCTTCATTTGTTGCTTTGACTCCTCCCTTTCCTTCAAGTCCCACAACAACATCACCAACAACATCAGGGTATCGTTCTTCCACCTCCGCAACATTGCCCGTCTCTGTCCATCCCTCACTGACTCCACTGCCCAAACACTCATCTTTGCCTTCATAACCTCTAGACTGGACTAATGTAACAGCATTCCTTCCTCAGCCTTACAAAAACTTCAATACATCCAAAACTCAGCAGCACGCTTACTCACCCACACTCGTGCCAGAGACCACATACTTTAACTCCAGTACTCAAACAACTTCACTGGTTCCCAGTTCCATTCCGGATCCATTACAAATTGCTCCTCATCACTTACAAATGCCTCAATAACCTAGCACCATCCTATCTGACGAAACTTCTCCATCGCCATTCTCCTTCCCGGCACCTCCGTTCTGCTGACTCCAACCTCCTTTCCCCTTTCAAAGCAAAACATGGCACCATGGGGGATCGAGCCTTTGCAGCCGCTGCCCCCACACTTTGGAACTGTCTCCCACTAAACATCAGGAATGCCGTCTCTCTCTCTACTTTTAAGTCCCTGCTTAAAACTCACCACTTCAAATTGGCCTTCTCTTTAGCTCTTAACATCAATCCCAGCATCTCTCAGTCTGTTTACTGTGTTTCATTTTGTCTCATTATGTGTTTACTGCGTTTTTTGTGAAGCGTATTTGAGTGACCTAAAAAGCACTATATAAGTTTGATGTATTATTATTATTATTATTCATTCGAACCCCTTTGGGTTCAATCAATCAAACTTTATTTGTATAGCACTTTTCATATACAAAAAAATACAGCTCAAAGTGCTTTACAGGTTAAAATCACCCCATATAACCCATAATCCCATCATTTCCCCCAAAATATAAAAATAATTATGACAATTGCCCCCCCCCCCATTCCTAAGGAACATGCACACACACACACAACTTAAAAAAATAAAATAAATTGATTGATTAATTAATTAATTAATTAATTAATTAATTAATTAGTAAAATGTCATAACTAAACACTAGGCCGAGTTCAGATGGGTTAGGTAACGAATGACACGCCATCAGGTGAGCCGTCTGCCTCGGTAGTAGTCGATTGACGGCAGCAGCAAAGGCACCATACCAGGGCGCCCAGGGAGGTAGGGCGAAAACCCCCACCCCCGCCTAAGCACTCCCGAGGTGAGCCCAGGCCACCACAGTCGACCACCACCCCCGAGGCAGAGGGCCCCACAGAGGAAAACACTGGCACGAACAAATAAGTAACATAAATAATAATAATAAGGGCTAATATGATAGTAAAATAACTAAAAAAAGTGATTAAAAGGTAGTAAAACACTAAGACATGTCTAATAACACTTAATCATGAAAAATAAATAACAATAAAACAAGCAATGCAGCTAAACAGATATCAGGTAAAAGCTATGGTAAAAAGGTGTCTTAAGCCTGCTCTTAAAAACATGAACATTCTCTACGACCCTGAGGTCCTCTGGGTTACCATGACCTGGATGACAGAAAATCACCTGCACATGTATTCATTTGTTTTGCAGGTTAAAACTTTAATTTGTTCTCACCAGGTTTCTACGTGCTCATCCCTGGTTGAGGAGAGTGAAGCCGTGCACACCAGCAGACAAACAGCCAGAGGTGTTCAGTGGGACCCACTGGTTGGTGTACCAGAGGTAAAGAAGGGAATGAGTGATGAGACTGGGGAGCCCCTGAAACCTGTCACAGTCCGCTTTGTCCTGGAAGAGAGCAGTGGTTACATGGAGCCCATGTTACGGATCCTGGCCGTCCTCCACACAGTCATTTCCTTCTTCTGCATCATCGGATACTACTGTCTGAAGGTAGCCCACTGACTAATGTCACAGAGCATGATTAGGTTCAAAACACACGCGGTCAGAGATCGTTTCTTCATTTGTACCTTCATGCACAGTTCTGGTTTTCTAAGTCTAAGATACAGCTAATTAAATATGTGGTTTTGATTGGCACCAAACACTTGTCCTTTACTGCTTTGTTCGTGTGGCTTCTGTAGGTGCCACTGGTGATCTTTAAACGAGAAAAAGAAGTAGCAAGAAAGCTGGAGTTTGATGGTCTGTACATCACAGAGCAACCTTCTGAGGATGACATCAAAGGACAGTGGGACAGACTAGTAATCAACACACAGTGAGTGGACATTCACATGTTTGTGCTTCAACAGCTATCGATTATCTGTGGATTATCTGTAGTTTTAAACGGCAGTAGATGGTGGTTGGTGCAGCACAAGACTTGTGAAGATTTCTGAATACAGGATGATGGCGTGCACTCAAACAGAGGGAGCTACCTTTAAAAACATACGGATGTCTTAAACTGACTAAACATTTTTGCTTCATGTATCCCAATCAGAGTGGAATAGAGTGCATCTGAAGAAACACCTGACACACGGGTTCCAGCCAAACTCAAAGTCCACAGGCGATCCAAAACGTGCACAGTGCACCCTCAAACAGGGATGTTACCTTCTCCGTAACTCCAGTTCAACTAACCCGATTCAGCTTCCTCAGCGCCATTATATACCTGTAGCCCCTCCCACTGGGCGTCACCTGGTTTAATTCTTATTTTAGAAACAACCAACAACAGATTACCAAACTACTCACCATCCCAAATATAAGCATACCTAAATAAGAAAAATATTAAGAACACATCCAAATAAGTGATGAAACAAACAAACACACATAACAGGGAAAAACGATCTCATGTCCACGGGATCACATGACCACCAAATCTGCGTCACACCCCCTCCCGTCTTGCAGTGCGGGAAGGGGCTGGTGTTCACACAAAATAACAGCGGTGAGTGTGTCATGACCATATTGATGTATGAATGTATGAATCTACCGGTTTTCCAAGTGTGCACCCTTAGGTCCTCTGTTAAACGTACTATTAGAAGCGAATCATAACAGGAAACAAACCAGGAAGTAGATTGTTGTGTGTGTATTTATGTGTGTGTGTCGAACGCAACAGGACAATAGGACAGCTAGGCGTCGCCGCTCTGTCACAAACCTACCTGCCTTTAAAAATTCAGAATGGGGAAGCGTGCAAACTGATAAAGGAAGTTCCTTGGTTATTGAGAAATCTCACTGATCACACTCTGATAAGTTTGTTTCATTCTCTATGTAGATATACAATTTCACTATCTTTTTAATCGACGAGCAGTATAAACTGTACTTGGTCTGCTTATGAAAATGGAGACGCAAAATTATTGCAAAAAATATATATTAAAGACATTTAATTGTGTGTGTGTGTGTGTTTGTGTTTTTTGTGTTTGCGCACGTGGTTCACACATGCTAACATCAAGAACAAGGTAGAAATTCACTGAAAAGAAAGCTTAAATGACTACATATGAATTTGGTACTCGCTCTCGGCGGCTATCGCTCTGAGATTTAACCCAAAAATGGACAATACCCTTTTGCAAACTCCCATTATATCAAGAGAAGAGAAGAATAATTTATAAATGCATTAACACTGTTTTCTTTACCTGTTCAGTTTTGGTGAAGTGTGCTGGCGGCAGCAGGAGTATCCGGGATGCAGTCCAGTCTATTTCTAAATAAACAAAAAACGATTCGGGACAGAAAAAATGCGGAAATCAAGCAAAGGGCGTAGCTCATCAAGCACCTACATCACTTTAGTTCTTCGGTAACCACGGAAAGTCCCTGCCTCAGAGTATGAGCCAACATGGTTCTAGGAACTATGGGGAAAGGTCCCTAGCTCCTATGTTTCCGAACGAGCACGAAAAGGGTAAGAAGGTTCCTACAGTCCGAGTGTGCCTTTGGTCCCAGTGTCACAGACACACTGTGTCATGTTCCTGGGAATGTGTTTAACCCACGACATGAAGAATCATCACAAGACGGGGGGGAAAGTTCAAAACAATGATTTATTTAAGGAATCTAACAAAAGGAGTCCCTGGAATAAACCCAGAGTAGTTGGAGCCAGAGAGAGTCCAAGTTCTGCAGGTGGAGGAGGTCGAGGAGGGCAGGTGGAGTGACGGGGTGAGTCCAAGAGAGGGAGCCAGGCAGGGTGGCAAAGGAATAAGAGGAGAGGCGAACCGTGAAGTCCAGGAAGGTATGGTTCTTTCCAGGTGAGTAATCCAGTGAGGTTCTGCTTCTTGGATGGAGGATAATATCCAACAAACCCAGAGCGTCAGGGAAGATTGTCCAGTGATCCTGGAGAGAGGATACAAAACTTGAGTCCAAAAAATCCAACAGAATAATCCAAGAAATTCTCCCAGTCAATTATCTACTTAGAAAACCAAGCAACCTAGAACGGGTGGCCAAAATACTACCATGAGTAGTTAATCATCCAGCGCTGTGTAGTGGTTCCCTCTCCTCTTATATAGAGCTCTGCTGCAGATGACCTGAGAAGCTGCATCTGCCGCTGATTGCTAATACCCTGCAGCTGGTGAGCTCCCTCTCCTGAAATGAAGAGCTCAAAGATGTTATAGAGATGAAGAGTACTCACCCCACCACACAACAGTGCCCCCCCCCCCACCCTCAACGGACGCCACCTGGCATCCTAGCAACCGTCTCCTCATACTCCCGGATGAGGCCAGGGTCCTCGATGAAGGAGCGCGAGACCCAGGAGCGCTCCTCCGGGCCATACCCCTCCCAGTCGACCAGGTACTGGACTCCACGACCGCGGGGACGGGAGTCGAGGATCCTCCGGACGGTGTAGACCAGCCCACCCTTGTAGAGCCGGGCCGGCGGCGGAGGTGCAGGAGTGGGGCACAGAGGACTGGATCCAACGGGCTTGACCAAGGAGATGTGAAAAACGGGGTGTACCTTCATGTTCCTGGGGAGGTCCAGCCTGACCGTGGAGGGAGTGGGCGTATCCAGGATCTTGAAGGGACCGATGAACCTGGGAGTGAGCTTCCTCGTAGAGGCCTTGAGCGGGATGTCCCGGGAAGACAACCAAACGTCCTGTCCAGGAGAGTACAGCGGGGCGGGACGCCGGTGTCGGTCCGCCAGCTGCTTATTCCTGGCAGCAGTACGCTCCAAAGCTGCCCGGGTAGCGGCCCATGCCCGTCTGGCCCCCCTGAGAAACTGCGGGATGGAGACTGAAGCCGAGGCCTGCTGCGGAAACAGTGAGGGTTGGTAACCCAGTGATGCTTCGAACGGTGACTGACCTGTGGAGGTGGATACATGGCAGTTGTGAGCGTACTCAATCCATGCTAGATGTGTTCTCCAGGCGGTAGGCTGGGAGGAGCAGACACAACGTAGCATGGCGCCCAGTTCTTGATTCATACGCTCACACTGCCCATTGGTCTGAGGATGGTGACCGGAGGTGAGGGCGACCCTGGCGCCCAGAGCCTCTGCAAACTCCTTCCAGACCCGAGCCACAAATTGGGGACCCCGGTCTGACAGAATCTCTGTGGGAATACCATGCAGTCTAAAAACATGCTTCACGAGGAGCTTAGCAGTAACGGTCGAAGAAGGAAGGCCTTTAAGAGGCACCAAATCACACGCCTTAGAAAACCTGTCAACCACCGTCATAATACATGTGAACCCCTGGGATTCTGGAAGACCTACTACAAAGTCAAGCGCAATGTGTGACCAGGGACGTGACGGACTGGGAAGGGGACAGAGGAGCCCAGCTGGGGCTCGGTGGTCCCCCTTTTGCTGAGTGCACATGTGGCATGCAGAAATATAGTTCTTAACGTCCTTATACATGGAGGGCCACCAGAAGGTCCGTTTAATAAGGGCTAGGGTGCGACCTACACCCGGATGAATGGAAAACTTCCCCGTGTGTGCTCAATGGATGACCTGTCCCCTAAGCGCCTGAGGAACGAATAGCCTTCCCGGAGGCCCCTTTGGGCCTGGCTCGGTCGTCAGTGCCTCCAACACCCTGTCCCGAATCTCCCAGGTGACCCCACCCACAACACATGATGAAGGGAGAATGGTTTCAGGCTCGGGCTCTTGGTCTGGTGTGTACAGTCTGGACAGGGCATCGGGTTTGGTGTTCTTAGAACCAGGGCGATAGGAGATCTGGAAGTTGAAGCGAGAAAAAAACAACGACCACCTATACTGGCGGGGATTAAGACGCTTAGCTTCCTTCAAATAAATCAAGTTTTTGTGATCTGTCCAGATAAGGAACGGCGTTTCCGCTCCTTCCAACCAATGTCGCCATTCCTCGATGGCGAGTTTCACTGCGAGCAGCTCCCTGTCTCCCACGTCATAACGGCTCTCTGTCGGGGACAGCCGCCTGGAGAAAAATGCACAGGGGTGAAGCTTATTGTCCACGGGTGCTACATGTGATAGGACTGACCCCACCCCGGTGTCAGATGCATCCACCTCCAGCACGAACTGTCTCTGGGGATCCGGTCTGTGGAGTACCGACGCGTCTGTGAAGCGCCTCTTAAGTTCCTGGAAAGCAGCCTCGGCTTCTGGGGACCAGACAAATGGGCGTTTCACAGAAGTTAGGTTAGTCAGAGGTGCAGCTACCTGGCTGTATCCTTTAATGAAGCGCCGGTAAAAGTTTGCGAAGCCGAGGAAACGCTGCAGCTGCTTCCGTGATGAGGGAGTAGGCCACTCCGTGACCCCGATGACTTTCTCAGGATCCGCTCGGAGTCTCCCGTGTTCCACAATGAACCTGAGAAACTTGACCTGAGAAACATGAAACAAGCACTTCTCTGCTTTGACATATAAGCAATTCTCCAACAACCGCCGGAGAACCGCTCTAACATGCTTCACATGCTGTGCAGAGTCCTCAGAAAAAATCTAAATGTCATCTAAGTACACAGTCACAAACTTATTCAAGAAATCACCCAACAAAGAATTTACAAGCGCCTGAAACACCGCAGGAGCGTTAGTTAACCCAAAAGGCATAACTAAATATTCAAAATATCCTATAGGTGTCTTAAAAGCAGTCTTCCACTCATCCCCTTGCCTGATGTGCACCAAGTGGTACGCATTTCGGAGATCCAGGCGGCTAAACACCCGCGCGTTCTGTACAGGCTCGAAGGTGGAACTGAGTAGAGGCAGCGGGTATTTATTCTTTATGGTGATCTGATTAAGCCCTCTATAGTCTATACAAGGTCTGAGGGTACCTTCCTTCTTCGGGACAAAAAAGAATCCCGCGCCCAGGGGAGAGGAAGAGGGACGAATGAGTCCGGCGGCCAGAGATTCCTGAATGTAGGT